AAGGTGAGAAAGCATGGGACTCGAACCATGGTCGGCTGTTGGGAGTATCCAGCACCTTAACCATCAAAGTTTGGTCTCCCAAACTTTGTGGGTTTTTTATTCTGTTTTTCCAGTTATTAACTTTATAGTATTTTATAGATGTTTTGGCCTGAGATGGATTAGAAATGGAAAACGAAACAATTGGCCCTTTACCACAGACAGCATAAAAACCCTCCTTTAAGGAACAGAGAGGCCTTTCCCACCCTTTAAAGCAGCCCCCCCACCATTCAGGGCAGGATGGGGAGACGAAAGGGAAATCGCCCTGGGGTCTGCTTACCCTGCAACCCTCCTCGGGCAGCAAACTCCCACTCCTCCTCAGTGGGCAGTCGTTTCCCCTGCCACGCACAGTAGGTGCGAGCATCATTCCAGCTCACGTGTACCACTGGGAGCTCCAGCCTCTCGCGGATGCCAGAGCCAGGACCTGCAGGCTGACAGCCAGGATGAAGTGAGACAGGCTTCTGGAGCTCAAGGCAGTCTGAGGCTAGGCTGAGGGCGCCTGCGTTCAGCTTTTACCACCAGATGAAGGAAGTTGCAGTAGAGAGCTAGGTGAGTGAGGAGCACACGGTCAGAGGAGACTACACGTGAGCCTACAGGGAGGACTAGGACTGGCGACAGGCAAGGGTCAGGGCAGAAGAAACAGGACAGCTTGGCTCCCTGAAACTCCCGTCATCCCTTTAAAGTCATGGAAAAGAGTCTAGGGAAACCAAGGCTCCAGAATAAGAGCCAGCAGGGGTAGGACATGAGGCATAGGAACCAGCCCTTACCTGCCTCCAAAATGCCTTTTCCACTGGAAACCACCAGAGAAGAGGCTGCAAAAAAGAAGGAGCATGACTGCAAGATGCTTTGCCCAGCAAGGACCCTTTCCTGACTGAGCCACATGGGACAGAACAGAGACTTACAGCTGAGACTCGGGTGGGCCCAGGGAGGCTGTGGCAGGAAACTCACTACCCTGGAAGAGGGAGGCTTACCAAGATGTCTGAAAAGTTCAGAAGTACAGTGTATTGAACTGTATACGTCTCTGGATCTTCTCTTCATGCAAGAACTAGCTGAGGGTTCCTAGGAGTGCGTGTACCTCTGATTCTTCTAGGTGCTCCCTCCTCACCTCAGGCTCTCAGTCCTGATCCTTCACTGTGGCCCAGGTGATCCCTTATCCCCCAGGATAGGTTCTCTCACCTTCATTTGCTCAGTTGCTTTGTTTTTTAGCTCAGCGGAGACAAAATCTTCAAACACAAAGCTCCACCCAAACATCTCAGCCTCGGTCCGGTACTTTTTCTCCCTGACAAAATCCCTGGAAAGAGGTAGTTCACTTCATTCAGCTGATAGGGTCCCAAGCTCTACTCCCACTCTCTCCTGCTCCAGGAAACCTCATTTGAGGGACTGCAAAAAGTTTGTAGATGGCTGGCCCCTTGCCCTAACAATGAAGAGAGCTGGATCCTGGGGGCCAGCAGGTGGTGTGGTGGTTGAAGCACTGGACTCTCACATATCCAACCACGGTTCAAGTCCCAGACCTGGTGGCTTGCTTTCTCCCTCTTCCTTTCTGTCTGTCTGTCTCTCTCTGGTCAAAGTAGAAGAATAATGATAATAAATAAAATTAAAAATAAATAAATCTTTAAAAAATAATAACACAAATGGAATTAGATAAATATTCTTTTTTTTATTTTTTGAGAAGTTTTTGCTATAGGTTACGTGTGCTTGCCAGAAAGACAGAGAGAGACAGAGAGACAGAAAGCGAGAAATCACCCCCCTGGGGGGATGGCCACACTGCAATCCCTTCTCTTCTATTCTCCTCTCGGGATCTTGGGCACGCACGCACACATACCTGGCGTGAGTTAAGCCACCAGGTCCAAGACTTGAACCACAGTTGACTACATGGGAGTCCAGCGACATAGCCATTACGCCGGACGCCCAGGCACCTAGCACTTCCCCCAACTGCTGGTCCCAAATAAATAATTCTTAAAAAAAAAAAAGAGCTGAATCTTACAGAGTCAACCGCGATTCAAGTCCCAGTCTGAAAAACTTAAAAAACACACTGGACACACGTGCACACGTGCATGCATGCCCAAAATCTCAAGAGAGAAATGGAAGAGTACAGACTGCAGAGTAACCATACCCCACTGAGAGGTGCTTTCTCCCTCTCCTCTCTTTCTCTGGTGAGCACATAATTTGGAATATAAAAATATGAGTACTGTGGAACCCAGGATCCCACAGGCTGGGGATTAAAGGAAAGGAATCATAGTGTGACTAGATCTTGTGGAGGGGGCTCCCCTCTCTCATGTGCTCTATCATGAATTAAAAAAAAATTAAAATAATTCATTGTCACCATCTAAAATATATATCCTTCCAGATTCTTACACCCTTGATCCCATACAGATTTCTAAATAGTTTCAATAAGGTGTTTTCCCATAATTATTTTCCTTTTGAACTCACAAAATCATGTTCAATGGAACCACCAGGTGGCATGGTGGTTAAGACGCTAAACTTCCACATGGCCAAATACAGTTCAAGTCCCAGACCAGGCGGCTTGCTTTCTTGCTTTCTCACTTTCTCTCTCTCTCTCTGTCTCTCTGGTAAGCGCACATGCCCTGTGGTAAATTTTAAAAAGTAATAATAATAAAGAAAATTAAATAAATAATTTTTTTAATGTGCAAAATTTATCCATTAATGTATGTGGATATATATTCATAATGGAAAATATATGCATAATCCAGATTTGTTTATGGATATGCTTTCGCTATACATAATTTTTTTATTATTATTATCATTTGTTTTGTTTTAATTTACTACAGGGCACATGTGCTCACCAGAGAGAGACAGAGAGAGAGAGAAAGAAAGAGAGAAAGCAAGCCACCAGGTCTGGGACTTGAACCACAGTTGGCTGTGTGGGAGTCCAGTGTCCTAACCATGCCACCTGCCAGCCCTGATATACACAGTTTTTAAAAATGGGATCATACTCTATGTATTCTTTTGTAAGCTAAGTTTTTTTACTTAATATCTTCTGCCTCTTTTCAACAAGATTTTTTTTTTTCTAAATTTTTGCCAGAGGGTACACACACTCACTAGAGAGAGAAGGGAAGAGAAGGAAAGCTAGAAAGCACCCCCCATTGGCATGGTCATGCCACAATTCCTTCTCCACCCTTAGGGATTTCAGGCACAAATGCACACACACTTGGCACACACTTGACTACATGGTCAGTCATGTGGGATTCAGCCATCTTAACCACCAGGCCATGGGCTGGTGAAACAACGAGACTGTTATTGGCTCCTAAGTATTGTTATATTTATACAAATCGTTTGCATAATTTTTGTTAGATATGTATCTACAATGCCATCTCTTTTTTCAAGAATTATTTAATTTCATTTATTATTATTATTTCTTTTTTGAGAGAGATTTTTTGGTGTGCTCACCAGAGAGACAAAAAAATGAGAAATCACCCTCCTGGAGGAGGGGGGATGGCCACGCAACAATCCCTACTCCTCTATTCTCATTTTGGGATCTTGGGCATGCATGTACACATGCCTGCATGAGTTTGAAGCCACCAGGTCTGGGACTTGAACTACAGTCTGCCATGGGGGAGTCTTGTGACATAACTGCTACACCATCTACTGACCCCAATTATTTTTTTTTGTTTAATTTGCTACAGAGCACATGCACTCACCAGAGAGAAAGAGAGAGAGGGAAAGTGAGAGAGCAAGTCACCAGGTCCAGGACTCTACCCATGGTCGCCATGTGAGTTCAGTGCCTTCACCACCACACCACCTGCTGGCTCCATACAATGCTATCTTTATATAAAGTTAAATGGTTTGGGGACACTCTTAATTCTTTGCTTAAGACAAATCCCTACAAGTAGGATCACTTGTCAAAGGGTCTGAGGAGTATACCAACAATCCCTATGCTTACTTCAATCTATATGTTGTCTGTCCTAAATCAACTTTTTTTCTACAACTTTTTATCTTAAAAATGTTTAACAGGACCAGCAGATGGCAAAATGGTTACAATGCTAGACTTCCAAGTAGTCGACCATGGTTCGAATCCTGGACCCAGTGACTTAACTCATGCTAGGCACATGTGCGCATGCCCAAGATCCCAAAAGGAGAATGTAAGAGAAGGGACTGCAGCGTGGCCATCCCCTCAGGGTGTGTGTGGGGGTGGTTTCTCACTTTATGTCTCTCTTTTCTCTGTCTCTCTGGTGAGTGTAGGTGCCCTATAGGAAAAATCTCTCTCTCTCAAAAAAAGGGTAGACCAGCAGATGCTGGGGTGGTTAAGTCGCTGGACACTCCCACATGGCCGACCATGGTTCAAGTCTCAGACCTGGTGGCTTGCTTTCTCACTCTGCCTCTCTCTCTGTTCAAAGTAAAATAAATGAATGAATAAATAAAATTAAATAAATAATTACTTTTAATAAATGTTTAAGTCTACAATTAACATTTAAGTAACAGCCTATATATGCTTCATTACTCTCCCCCTCCTTCCTTTTTCAACCCCCTCTCATCAACAGATATTTCTCTCTCTCTGTACACACACACACCTATACCATTTGAAAGTTACAGATCTCGGGACCAGCAGGTAGCATAATGGCTATGTCACTGGACTCCCATGTAGTTGACCGCGGTTCACGTCCCGGACCCAGTGGCTTAAAACTCACGCTGGGCGCGTGTGCGTGCATGCCCAAGATCCCAAGAGGAGAATGGAGGAGAAGGAACTGCGGCATGGCCATCCCCTCTTGGGGGGTGATTTCTTGCTTTCTATCTCTGTCTCTCTCTGTCTGTCTGACGAGCTTACGCACTCCATAGCAAAAATCTCTCAAAAAAAAAAAAAAAAAAAAAAGAAAGAAAGAAAGAAAGTTATAGATCTCTTTTTGATCATTTTTACCTTTTTTCCCTCTTTTATTTCCCAGAGGGTACATGTGCTCACTGGGTGTGAAGGGAGAGTAAGCAACACCCTCCATGAGGGACAGTCACACTGCAATCCCTCCTTCCGGGATTTTGGATATAAATGCACAAGTGCCCAGTGTATTTTTTAAGACACCAGGTCTAGGACTTGAACCACAAAGTCAGTCATGTGGGATTCAGTCATCTTAACCACCATACCACAGGCTGGCCCAGATTTTTTTATAGCCCTACCCAAAACATATGGTCTTAGGGAAACTGAGGCAGCTCAACCTGGCTTCTTCGATTGAGTTGGAACCACATGTTTACTAACACAATGCCATTTTCTTCAACACACATAAAGGGAACTTAAGGGATTCTTAGCTAGGATGACCCTTATCACACCCCCTTCTCTGCTGTGGAGGACATTTCTGTTGAGTGTTTGACTTCTGCTCATACTTCAGAGCTATGCCCAGGGTCATGAAAAATGCACTGGCTCAGGAGTTAGAGGATTTGAGAGCTATGCCCAGCTCGTCCACTGAGAAAGTTGGTCAAACCTCTTTGGGTTTTCTCATCTGGAAAATGCAGATAACACTTATTCCACAGTACTACTACAAAGATGCTATATGTGAGTAAATAAACTTATTTCCTTTTAGATAGTAGGAAGGAAAAATTTTAGAATGAGCTTTTACTCCTCCTAAAGGAACCCTTGATATACCTGAAATCTTTGTTGGTGACAGGGAATATGTCGATGGCAAAGGGTTTTACTGTTACCTCCCGGACAGGCCCTTCACCATCTCTGCCATCTGGAGAATTTGTCCCCATCAGGAATCTTCCACCTGGCAGCTGGACCATGCCAGTAGCGTGTCCATTCCCTGCAGAGAAAAAGGAGAGATCTCAGTACACATGCATATATATTACATATGTATTATATAAATGTATGTATAAAATAACTGGTAATACTGGGATCATATGTGGTATTCATAATGGCATAACAAAACATGGATGCTTACACATTTGGCTTTAAGCCCTTGTGCTGAGAAACCTCAGGCAAATTACTTAGTCTAAGATTTCATTCCTTTATTTATAAAACAGGGAGAGCATCTATCTAAGTAGCTTCATGAGTTAGACAAACTTGTTGGGGACTGGCTGGTGGTGTGGTGGTTAAGGTGACAGGATCCCACACGGCTGACGGTGCAGTTCTCTTCCGGAGCTGGTAGCTTGAAAGACATGCCAGGCACGTGTGCATGAGTGTCTTAAATCCCAAGAGGTGGGAGAAATGGAGAATGGAGAAGGGATTGCAGCATGACCATCTTTCATGGTGAATGCCTTCTCATTCCTTCCCCTAACTCTGGAGAGTGCATGCACCTTCTAGCAAAAATTTAAAAGAAAAGAAAAAAAAAAAAGGGGCCTCCAGCATACAAAACTCGCGTGATTGAACTTCCAAGTTTGGGAAGAAACCAACCATCCACCAGATGACTAGAAATCGCTGCAGGACCACAAGAAATATGGGGAAGCAGGAAAATACCTCTCCCACAAGGGAAAAGGATAGCTCCTCTTCATCCACACACAGTTCAATGGAAATCATGGAAACGTCTGATAAAGAAATCAGAACATTCATAATGGCAAAGCTAACAGAGATGGAAGAGAAGAGAGACAAGGAACTGCTGAAGAGGAAGGAGAAAGGAGCTGAAGAGCTCCAGGATGTGAGGAAATTCATGCAAGATCTAAAAGAGGAATTTCACACTTTACAAAAGAATCAGATGGAACTGTTAGAGATGAAGGCTATAATACAAGAAGTCAAAATCTCCCTTGAAAGTATTAAAAGCAGACTAGATCATACAGAAAATAGAATCTCTAATGTAGAAGAGAAAATGGTTGGCCTAGAAAAATCCACCGCGAAGACTGAGAAAATGGCCCAAAAATTTGAAAATAATATGCGAGAAGTACTAGATACCATCAAACGTCCAAACATCCGGATAATAGGCATCCCAGAAGGTGAAGAGACTCATAAGGGCATTGATAATCTATTCCATGAAATCTTACAAGAAAATTTTCCAAACCTGGAGAGGCACTCAAAGATTCAGTCCCAAGAAATACAGAGGACCCCAAATAGAATCAACCCAAGAAGATCTTCTCCAAGACACATTATAGCCAGATTGACCAAAACCACAGACAAAGACAAGATACTAAGACTGGCAAGAGAAAAAAGGCAAGTTACCTACAAAGGGTATCCCATCAGACTAACGGCAGACCTCTCATCGGAAACAATGAGAGCGAGGAGAGAATGGGAAAATGTATTCAAAGTATTAAGGGAAAAGCAATTTCAACCGAGAATTCTGTACCCAGCAAGGTTATCGTTCATTTGGGAAGAAAAGACACGAACTTTCCCAGATAAACAAAACCTGAAAGAATTTACCAGCACCAGACCGGATCTCCAAGAAGTTCTTAAGGGAGTGCTATGTCAGTAAAATTAAATGCAGACACACAGAAATAAGAGTTCAGAAACTAAGAAAATGGGCAACTTAATTGTAGGGCCAAAAGCTGGAGTTGAGTATTACATCCCAGATTTCAATCTGGAACATCGAACCTCAACAGATACAGAAGAAAGATTAAGTACATGAGACTGAACTGATGAAACAGTATTCTACGACTTGACTAAAATATTGCTGCTTTTCTTCTAAGCTTTGTTGTCTGGTTTTAAGGACTTTTGTCCTGTCTTCAGCTATCAATAGATTCATGTTCCGACTATTTGAACGTAATGGAATTTTATGGATGATAACATGCATGATTAAGCCACTATGCAGTTTACTCTAGAGGGGAAACCACATTTAGTATGTTGTGATGATGCTCAGGGAATGAATGTAAATTTAAAAAAAAAATCAGAGAAAAAAATACTAAAGCTGTTACCAAAATTTAAAAAAAAAAAGAAAAACGTTTTAAAAAAAATAGTTTTATTTCTCTTACTTTAAAGAATATTATTGGAATTGTGAGAGGATTACATTGTATGTCTGTGCAAGTCTTCAAGAGTTCATGGAAAATGTGTACTATGAAAAAACTGCATGAGTTTCAACAGAGACAATGGGAGGAGGGTTGGACAGGGCAGAGGGTTAGGGATAGGGAATCAAGGATGGCAAACAAACAAACAAACATACAAAAAAACAACGCAAAATATACAAGACATAAGAAATGAAAAATTGTTTGTTGATAACATGTATGTTGATGTGCTTGATGAGCCAACAGACAGTGTATTTTGGATGAAAAATTCATTTTGTATACTGTAATGATGTATAGCATATTAATGTTAAAAAAAGAAAAATAAATTAATAAATAAAAATAAATAGGAAAAAAAAAAAGTGGTGGAAATTCCTAAGAATGACATGGTCATTTTCATTTACCTCCTTCTTCTACACAGCCCTTGATCCCAGTTGGGTAAATCTAGATACTATATCCTGAAATACACCTAGTACTTTATTTTCTTTTTAAATAATTATTTTATTTAACTTTATTTATTTTAATTTGACCAGAGAGGGACAGACTGAGTGAGCAAGCAAGAGAGAAAGAGGGAAAGTGAGAAAGCAAGCCACGAGGCCCGGGACTCAAAACTACTGTCGGCTATGTGGGAATTCAGTGTCCTTAACCACCATGCCACCTGCAGGCCCACATCTAGTACTTTCTATCCATACTTCTGCTCATGCTGCGTTTCTGCCTCTGACAACTTACTACATTTTTATCAGTTCCTAGTGATTCTCATCTTCGCATCATATGACTCAGAAGGAAAAGACATCTATTTTCCCCATGTACCCCTGGCACCTAACACAAACACGCAATGAAGATCATCAAATAAGCCCCAGAAAAATCATAGAATAAAGAGAATCTTGGGCCAGCCAGTGGGTAGCTGGATTCCGCAAAACTAACCCTGGGGCTCAAGTCTTGGATGCGGCAGTTTGAAAAACATGCCGGGTGCGTGTGCATGTGTGCCCGAGATTCCAAGAGAATGGTAAAGGGACTTAAGAGTGACCATCACCCTGGGGGGTTGCTCTCTAGTATGTGCACTCACCCTATGGCAAATTTAACCTTATTTCACAGGTGTAAGCAAGACCCAAAAAAGGTAAATGACTTAAAGAGTTGGTTAGCAGTAGACAGAACTAGTCTCGGTCTCTTACAGTGGTCTCCTAGTCCACACTTCTCTGGCTCTGTGTATCACTTCACAGTGTTGTTCCCAAGAAAGGATGTCTAAGCACTATGAGATCCTCAAGAGCAGAGTCCAGGTTTTTTTTTTTTTTTTTTTTGAGAGGTTTTCGCTATAGGGTGCATGCACTCACCAGACAGAGAGAGACATAGAGACAGAAAGCGAGAAATCACCCCCCAGGGGGGATGGTCACGCCACAATCCCTTCTCCTCCATTCTCCTCTCAGGATCTTGGGCACGCATGTACACGAGACCGGTGTGAGTTCTAAGCCACTGGGTCCGGGACGCAAACTGCGGTAGACTACATGGGAGTCCAGCGACATAGCCATTACGCTAACTGCTGGTTCCCAAGTCCAGGTTTTTTGATGTTCCTTAAGATCCAATCTTTGGCCCTCTTTTCATCTGGACACACTCACACTGATTTCTTCCATTTCATTTCTCCAACAAATACATTGGGCACCAGTGGGAGAAAAGCAAGTAGAAAACCTCAGCTTGAAAGGGAATTAACAACATACTGTTTTTGACCAGGTCAGTAGGTGGTGTAGTGGGTTAAGGTGCTGGACTCCTACATGGCCAACTTCAGTTTAAGTCCAGAATCCAGTGGCTGAAACTCACTATGCACGCATGCCCAAGGTCCCAGGTGGAGAATGGAGAAGGATCTGCTGCGTGGCCATCTCCCATCCCTGGGGGATGATTTCTCATTCTCTCTCTCTTTTTTTTGGAGAGGTTTTTGCCATGGGGTGTGTGGGCTTGCCATACACAGAGACAGAGAGACAAAAAGCGAGAAATCACCCCCCGGGGGGGGGATGCCCACGCCACAATCACTTCTCCTCCATTCTCCTCTTGGGATCTTGGGCATGCATGCACACACGCCCAGCATGTTTTAAGCCACCGGGTGCAGGACTGGAACTGCGGTCCACTACATGGGAGTCCAGAGACATAGCCATTACACTAATTGTTGGTCCCTCTCTCTCTTTCCGTCTCTCCAGTGAGCACCTGTGCTCTATGGCAAAAACCTTTAACAAAACTTTTAATTGTAACCCTAATTCAATAACCAAACTATAACTTATAATCGTTTATGAGACAGTAGGTGAATTTGAACAGACTGTATACAGTATCTTGGGACCAGCAGGTGGTGTGGTGTCTGAGGCACCCGTCTCCCACATGGCCAAATGCAGTTCGACTCTGGCCCTTGTAGCTTGCTTTCTCTCTTTCTTTCTCTCTCTGCCTACCTCTGGTGAGTGTACCTATCCTGTAGCAAATTTTAAAAATACATATTTTAAAATACATAAATATTATAATTAAACAATTATTTAAAAAAATTTAAAGAGCATTGTCCGTTTTTTTTTAGGTGAGAAATAGCATGGTAACTTTTTTCATGACTTTTGTGTCTTTTGTCCAGTTAAGCTTAATATACACCTTAAAAAATCATGTAATACCAGGATCACTTCACCAAAATGGCTCCTGGGAGAAAATAGGATCTCGGGGGAGCAAGATGGGCTTCTAATTAGCAACTGTTTAACCTGGGCAATGGGCCCGTGTGTGTTTGTGTGTGTGTGTGTGTGTGTGTGTGTGTGTGTGTGTGAGGGTTCTTTTTTACTTTTGTTTGAAAGACTCCAAAATAAGGAATAAAAAGTTAAAAGGTAGTTTAGCACAAGAGTGTTAATAAACACCTCCCCAGGTTGGCCACCCCCGGGAGGTGCCTCCAGCCTTTCCAAAATACATCCAGCACTCGCGCGGGCGGAGGGGTCCCGGTCTCTTTCCCCACCAGGGCAGAGCTCCCCATCCCTCTCGGTGCCTTGTGGGAAGTGGCACCGTAATAGGGCAGGCCAGCACACTGACCTAGCTTAAGCCACAGTCCGGACAGGAGCGACAGGAAGGACAGCAGCGACGAGCCCGAGCCCATGCCGGGGGTTAAACGAGCAGACACACCCGGTCAGCTCAGCTGCGCATGCGCGCGCCTGCGTTTGCATTCGACCCCCTACGCGCCTGCGTGATCTTCCCCACCTCACCACCGCCGCGCCGCTCCGCATTCCTGATCGTACTGTACGTGGAAGGTAACTTCACCGCTTGCGCATTTGCCCAGATAATTAAGAACAGCAATCTGAGAATATTATGGTTTCTGCCATTCCCATTCACAACCTTTTTACACTACAAATTTCATCTGCTTTTGTATTCAAGATGCTTTGTGTTTTCTCTATAAGCTGCCTGCTCACCAGAGCGAAAGTGATAAATCACCGTCAGGGTGGATGGCCACACAGCAATCCTTTACCAGTCTCCTCTCGGGATTTTTGGCACACATGCCCAATGGCACGAAATCTGGCCACTGGGTCTGGGACTCAAACCATGGTGAAATATGTGGGAGTCCGGCACTTAACCAGAACACCCGCTGGCCCCCCAAATGCTTTTATACACACCATTTCAAGACCACAGAAAAGGTTTTAATTTAATATTTATTGCACACTCATTATAGGCCACTGTTGAGCCCTCAAAATACAAGCTTGTAACACACTTCACTTTCATGGACTGTATATTCCACCTGTTTAAAACAATTGTGTGGAAACATGGGACAGAACAGTAATTTGGGTGGGGGAAAAAGGGACACTAAAGGGTTAGGGATATTTTGCATAAGCAAAAGTTCAGTCTTGAAAATAAGGTCAACCTTTAAAAATCTCATGATTCACCTAATAACCCTGGTAGCCCTCAGTCATCATGCCCTCAGCTATCTTTTTACCCTTGCCTCCATTTCTGTTTTTGTCATGTGACACTTGCAGCTCCCTTAACTCCCTCTAGTGTAGTTTGTTTTCCTATCCCCCCACAACCGAACTTTTCCGGGAGCATTTCAGCTATTTCAAAAGCATGAAAGATCCAACTGATCCAATAATTTTATTCACAGAAATTGATACTAAGGGCAATAGGGATGTCTTCAGAATCTTAAATTGTTACTCCTATTAGCATAAAAATTTTAAACACAATGCTTAGCAATTGAGAGGTGGTTGGGTACTTCAAAGTAATCCATAAGAAATTATTAAACCATTAAAATGAGTTTTTCAATGAATATTTAATAACAAGGTAAATAACATATGTTTATCTAACATGTAATTTTATGCAGCTAAAGCAAACATCCTGTTGGCTGGGTAAAAAGGAGTTGGTTTGTGTGTATACTTCAGTGCAATTTAAAAAAATACTGTAATTATTGATTTCAGAACTCCAGAATTTGAACAGATGTTCTCTCCTTTTATCACATGGGAAAGTAAAATTCCTTTGAACATCATTTGAAGCCTGGACGATTTCCCCTAACTATATTTTTCCAGATCACTCTGTAGAGTCTTCAAAATTCAGAAGATACAGGAAAGCTTTAATTCAGCCTTTTAGAGAAGACATTCCAGCTCGCATGATCTCATCAACAAGGAGAATGTTGGTGGCAATCACGGTACTAAAAGGGAGAGGGAAAAATGGCTCAGATGATATGAACCTTAACTTCCCACTTCCAATTCAACTGTACACATTACACCCAATTAGATTTCCGCTTCTTTGTGTGCCAAAGGCTCATTTAGTGTCTATACTTCCAATTTCGTATTCATGGAAAAAATACAAGTAGAACATGCCAAAGGGAAACAGTGATTCCCTAAAGGTTATCTTAGTTTTGGTATTCCCAAACTTACCAAGAGTGAAGAAGCTGTTTCTTTACACAATAATTATCCCATATGCCTACTTCTGCTGCTACCATCGGCTCGCCTGAAAAGGTAACCAACCAAGTCTTAAACTACATATAGTCGAATAGTAGGTCATAAAATCAGATGCTCTCTTATAACAGAATTATTCTGTGCTGTTTTGCTCATCAACAATTACCTACTTCCTCCAGTATTAATTATGAAAACACAGCCTCTCTATTTATTAGTCCAATTTTCTACTCCAAACCAGGACTCCACTCCCGGCAATCTTTGATGAGTTTACAACTTTTACTTAGAAGGTTTCTACTGATGGGATGCCTTCTTCAGTTACCAAATGTTTAAACATCTCTCTGTTCTTCTGGATACATTCCTGTTTGTTCATAGTAAATGAGAGCTCTTGAACTATAAAAGAGACCTATTTCTCTCATTCCCGAAATCTTTTCTACTAAATTAATAATGTTGAAAGCAATTGGTCCTACACATATTGCATGGATGCATCTGGTATTGTTTCCAACATACTTGTATAACTTGTGCTGCCACAGGGGCGGTAAAATCAAGTCTATGATCATTTCATTAGATTTGGTCTCTTTCTGGCTATTTGTTATCTTGTTTTTTACCTATGAATATGATGACTTAATGTATTTTCTTATCAAAGAGCCTGCTCAAAAAATCGAGTGAGGGGGACCAGCAGTTAGTGTAAAGGCTATGTCGCTGGACTCCCATGTGGTCGACTGTGTTTGCGTCGCGGACCCGGTGGCTTAAAACTCACGCCAGGCGCGTGTGCGTGCGTGCCCAAGATCCCAAGAGGAGAACGGAGGAGAAGGGATTGTAGCGTGGCCATCCCCCGGGGGGGGGGGTGATTTCTAGTTTTCTGTCTGTCTCTCTGAGCAACCCCCTAACAACAAAACACCTCTACAAAAAAAAAAAAAAAAAAAAAAAAAAAAAAAAAAAAAACAAGGGAAGCCCAAATATGAAAGCCCTTCTATACCTGGACCATCTACCACCCCACAGCAACAACTCCAACCAATCTGTACTTTAGAATCATTCATGTTTGGAACTAGCAGGTGGCAAAGTGCTGGGCACCCATGGTGTTTGAGTCCTGGACCCAGCGGCCTGAAACTCACGCTGGGCATGTGTGCCTATACATGCCCAAAATCCCAAGAGGAGATGCAGAATGGATTGCAACATGGCCATCTCCACTGGGAGATGCTAGAGTGGGTGGGTGTGATTTCTTACTTTCTGTCTCTCTGGCGAGCACAAGTGCTTTATAGCAAAAACAAAACAAAACAAAACACAAAACAAAAACAACTCTCTGAAATCAAAGACATTTACTCTACTGCCATAATTACTATATCTAATCATTCCATTTTTTATATGTACTTATGTTTATCCCTTAGAATTCAAGAGTTCCTTGACAGTACTGTGTCAAATGGTATAACAATTCTTTAAGTTTCTTTTGTCCCTATTTTTTTTTCTTGGTTTTATGTCACCTATATTATCTAGTTCTCTTCCTACAGTTTCATTCTCTTACCTGTGTTCAGGTCTACACCCACAAGTTGACCTGATTCTGAATGTTCTGCTTGAATTTTAACTAATGTTTCCTGAAGGTCAAAACCAGAATTCTGAGCAAGAACCTAAAATAAACAAATTTAATTCTTAAAAAGATGAAACTAAGAATTGATAGTGAAATTCTTAATACGTGAACAGTATTTCCAATTAATTAAGACAAAAGCGTACTAAACCAAGATAGTCATTATTTATGTTCTCTTCAGAGAATAACTAGATGTACGTTACTGACCAACTCTCTAATCCAACCCCAGCAATACACTGCAAACAAATAGACCTTAGAAAACAATGGTAGTAATCAGCTTAGCTAAAAGTGTTTATCTTCAAGTATAACTAACTATAACTCCTATACTGCAGCCTTAAAACACAATCACCTATTGTCATCTTAAACTTGATAGTCAAGTCCCCCAAAGGAATCAAATATGAAAATGATGCAGGAAACCTGCTCTAGAATCAGTGAGAAAACGATTAAACTTTCTTATCCAAAACCAGCACCACAGGCTAGCTGGTGACATAGTAGTAAAGGCGCTGGACTCCCACATGGCCAACCGCAGTTTTAGTCTCAGACCTGGCAGCTTTAGAATCACCCAAAATCACAGGAGCAGAATGAAGAAGGGATTGCAGCATAGCCACCCCCCCAAGGGATTATTCCTCATTTTCCTTCTCTTTATCTTTCTGGCAAATCCACACACCCTATGGCAGAAACCTTTAAAAAACACAACCAAGAAAACCCCTATATTATAAAAAAAAGCCTGTATTAATTATCAAGCAGGTTTGTTCACTTTAATCATCTTCCTAAAGTGCAGAAAACTTTCTTGGGGGGAGAGGTTTTTGCTATAGGGCACGTGTGCATGCCAGAAAGACGGAGAGAGACAGAAAGTGAGAAATCAACCCCCAGGGGGAATGCCCACACTGTAATCCCTTCTCCTCTATTCTCCTCTCAGGATCTTAGGCACGCACACACACACACCCCCCCAGCGTGAATTTAAGCCACCGGGTCTGGGACTTGAACCACGGTCGACTACATGGGAGTCTAATGACATAGCCATTACACCAACTGCTGGTCCTAAGGGTAGAAAACTGTTAAAGTGGGAACCAGCAGATGGTATAATGTTTCCATAGCTGGATTCCTATGTAGACTCAAACCATGGTTTGAGTACCGGACCCAGTGTTAAACTCACATCAGGCTTGCATGCATGCATACCCAAAACCCTGAGAGGAGAATGAATTGTGGCATGGCCATCCCCTTTGGGGGAGTTGATTTCTTGCTTTCTGTCTCTGTCTCTCCAACGAGAGCACGGAACCTATAGCAAAGGTCTCTATTTTTTAAAAAATTGTCAAATGTATTCCATACCTTGGGAATTATCAGTAATGCATCTGCAAATGCTTGGACTCCAAGCTGGGCCCTTCCCTTTATACTTGGCTTGTATTTAATCAGGGCTTCTGCCATGGCCACTTCTACTGCTCCAGCACCCGGAACCACACAGCCTGTAGGATTGGGGTGGGGGAGAGAAATGCTCAGCTACAAAAACAACAAAACTATAAAAGTAATTACACACATATGAAAGCTACTAATTCACTATGACCACAGCAGCTTAAATACCACCCTTGAAAGTCATAATACAAGCAACTACCAGAATGATTCAATTTAACTATACTTGGCAGCTCTGACAAACTATTAATTCATTTATTTGTATTCACCTTTAAGAAAGATATGCTATGAAAAAGAACAATGCATACCATCATAATCATTTTAGAGGGAAGATGTTACTTTCGCATGGTGTCTGGCTGTGTAAACTACTGATAAAAGAACACAGTATTCAGCCATGCCTTTCAGATGAGCAAAAAGAACAGAATTTAAATAATAAACATCTTACCGTCATCAATAGCATTTTTGACAGCCCTTAAGCCGTCTCTTATTGCATCTTTGATTTGAGTGAGTGTGTGCTTGTTTGGTCCTTTGACCAATAATGTAACAGAACGAGGATTGTTACATTTCTCAATAAAGGTGAACTTCTCTTCTCCCTAGGTGTAAAAGAGGTACTATTTCAAAAAAAGAATTTGGTTGTGCAGAACATAGAGTAAAGGGGCCTATGAGAAAATACACAGAATATTAAAGGAACTGCCTTTAAAATCCACATATAAAAGAAATGTGATTTCCCCATTAACAACTTATCATTACTATACATGAAGTATCAAACTGTATAATAGGAACAAGAATCTCATCAGGAGTTAAAATTTTACTGACGAATTCATGAACTAAAACATATATTACCCTTAGGAAGAAAATACACTTACCAATGTGTACTCATACACAAGCCCTGCATGTCCCAAGCAATCAGGATTTAGGTCATCAAAAGAATTTAGAGCTACCCCACCACAAGCAAGAGTCAGTCTGAAAGGTAAGTGTTTTAAGAGAGAAATGTAAGTAATGTTACCAGTTGCATTCGAAGAGAAGACTTAACTTTAAGGAACCAATTTTTCAGAATTACACACTAAAACTATATTATGAAATGTTTCATTTTAACCTAAGCCTTTCCATTCACCATCAACAAGCAGAAAAGCACTTTTTCTCCTAATCTTCCATTTAAACCTCTCTCCTCAAGTCAGCAAATACTCCATCAATATGAAATTAAACATGGGAGATAAAGAATTACTCTGAATGTTCTTGATGCCATCTTGTGGCAAGGAAAAATATGTATAATATGTGTCATGGCTTAAAAATAAAATATGGGGGACCAGCAGTTGGTGTAATGGCTATGTTGCTGGACTCCCATGTAGTTGACCGTGGTCTGAGTCTCAGACCCGGTGGCTGAAACTCACGCTGGACACATGTGTGCGCGTGCTCAAGATCCTGGGGGGAGAATGGACGAAAAGGGACTGTGGTGTGGCCATCCCTCTGGGGGATGATTTCTCGCTTTCTGTCTCTCTCTGTCTGGCGAGCGTACCTCCCTATAGCAAAAACCTCTCAAAAATAAGTAATATAAAAAGTTAAATAAAATCATTATTTAAAAAAATAGTATGACCAGTTCCAGCAGGTGGCACGGAGGTTAAGGTGGCTAGATACCACACCACTGAAGGCACAGTTCAAATCCCAGTATCCCAAGATGAAAATGGAGACGGGATTGTGGTTTGACCAATCCCCTGGTGGAAGAGGGGAGGTGATTTCTCATTTTCTCTCTTACTCTTTCTGGTGAGCACATGCACTCTACAGCAAGCTAAAACTAAAACTAAAATAATAGGTACAGAGTTTCAGTTCGGGATCACAAAGTTCTAGATATAGAATAGTGACAATAATTGCACAACAATGTAAATGAACTTGGGGCCCACAGGTGGCATGGCGGTTAAGGGCACTGGATTCCCACATGGCTGAGTCCTGGACCTGGTGGCTTGATTTCTCACTCCCCTCCCCTTCTCTCTCTCTCTCTCTCTCTCTGTCCCTCTCTGGTTAAACTTAACAACACTCTATAGCAAAATCTTTCTCTCTCTCTCTCTCTCTCTCTGTCCCTCTCTGGTTAAACTTAACACTGACTTGTGCACTTACGAACGATAAATCTTTCATTATTTGTACTTTACATTAAAAGAAAAAAGTAGAGGTAAAAAGGAATAATCCCAAGTCACGTATACAATAGATTAGGCTCCTATTACTCAGATAATCTACTAACCGTACCTCTCCATATTTCTCCTTTTAGCTCTGCGCAGAGCTACAATGCCTTCTTTGGCAAGAGCATCTAAGGAAAAGGGGTCAATTCCCTACAACAAAAAGAGATTAGTTTCAATATATGTCACCTGACAGATAAAAAAGGCTGATACATACTATGAGTTTATAAATCAAATTTTCATTCTCACCTTTTGATTAATGACAACAAATCCTTTGTCTGAATCACCACAGACTTTCTTTTTCAGTTCTATTATTTTTTTAACTCTATCTTCAATGAATTTTCTTTCAGCTTTTACTAGTTTTTCTCTCTCTTCTGCACTCTTGTAAAAAAAGCCAGAATTCACTTCTCTATTTAAAAATTACAGAAAGGGAGAAAATGTTTACCTTTTAAATAGACAACAGTCTCAGACTGAATTACTTTAAAAAAAAAAAAAATTTCTTTGTTCCTTCCACGAGTGAGCAAGACAAGCACCCCAACAAAACTCTAAGACACTATCCACCACCCCAAGCCTTCAGTCAGTCCAGGATAATGGGCAAACGAGAGCATAGCAAGTATGTCTGGACCTGAACTGGAAACCTTCCCACATGAGACTGCCTTGCAGAACGTCACCTTTTACCACGGTGTCACCATTGGGCCCTCTGCATTACTTTTAAAAACTGACAAGTCACTGGGACCAGCAGTTGGTGTAATGGCTATGTCGCTTGACTCCCATGTAGTTGACCGTGGTTTGAGTCACTGATCCTGCGGCTTAAACTCACACTGGGTCCATGTGTGTGTGTGCCCAGGATTCCAAGAGGGGAATGGAGGAGCAGGGATTGCGGTGCGGCCATATACCCTAGGGGCTGATTTCTCATGTTCTGTCTGTCTGTCTCTCTTGGTCTTTCTGGTGAACACATGCGCCCTATGCAAAAACCTCTAAAAAAACAAAAAAGGAAACAACAAAAAAAACCTGACAAGTCACTAAGTTCCAACTCTGCCCCTTGTACCTTTCCAGGTCATTCCCATCACTCTCCCAAACCGAACTGAGATACTACTATCCTTCCAATGGGGCAACTGAGTTTCACAAAGTGACTTGTCCAAAATGCCAAGCTCCCCCATTTCTTAGTTCATCTCTAGAGTGCCATTAACTCACGTTTTTTCATATTCTAATGACACATTGCATGTGAGGATGTACGCATCTTCTACTCTTTTCTTCATATCAGGATGCCGTGCCCCATGGTCCAAAACAAGTCCTCTGATTAAGCTGTTAAAACACATAAAAAATTAGTTACTGATAGCCAGGCAGGAATGTACCACATTTTGACAAAATTAAAACGCTGAGTTGAGACTATAGTAATAATTTTTTTTAAAGAATTTTTTATTTAACTTTATTTATCCTTTCTTCCCCATACTCCTCTTGGAATCCTGGGCATGCATGGATATGTGCCCAGCGTGATTTTCAAGCCAGTGGGTCCAGGACTCAAAATGCCGCCAGCCACGTGGAATCCAGATGCCCTAACCACCATGCTTACTGCCCCCATGATCACTCTCTTTAAAAAAAAAAAAGAATTATTTACTTATTATTATTATTTTAAATATGACCAGAGACACACAGTGACAAAGTAAGTCACCAGGTCAAGGACTTGAACTGTAGTCAACCATGTGAGAGCCTAGCACCCCAACCACCATGCCACTTGCTGGTCCCATGATCACCTCTTTTTAAAAAATGTTTTCAAACTAGATCTTTGAGGGAAAAAATCCCCATCAGCCTCCCATCATGTGTCATACACAACTGTTCAGCATAATGACTGGTACACTTTACCTTTCAAAATCATGCTGATCATAAACACAGCATAGCACCATTTCAAAAGAAAATATTACTAAGAGTCAATGTAATACTTAATTACAAATTTACCCAAAAATATGAAAAAAAAAAAAACCTACTAAAAATACATATTATATGAATGAACTTCTCAATTTTTTAAAGTTTCTTTCATGCCAGGTGTGACGCAACATGGAAGATGACCTGGGTTTGTGTCCCAAGACTTCCCAGAGAATACCTAGCATGCATTTGCAACGCCTGTGATCTGGGCTAGCTGAAGCTGGGGTAGATCACAATATGGAGATTGTTGTGGGTACCTGTCTCTCACCACTGATGTAAGAAATAAGCTTTAAAAATCATTTTTTTAAAGTTAGGTTCATCCTGTGACATGGCGGTTAAGGCAGCTAGATCACATACAGTCAACTGCTTGGTAAAGTCAAGTGACGGACTAGGCAGTTTGAGAAGCAAGCTGGGTGCATATGTGTGTGTGTATGCCCCAAAGCTGAAAGGAGGGAGAAAGGGACAAAAGACTAGGATGTGTCCATTCCCTATGGGGGAGGGGGTTTCCTTTCTCTCAGGAAAAATTTTTTTTAAAAAAGGGAAAAAAATTTCAAGTTTATTTCTTTATATTTACATAAGGTTGGGCTTGTGGAATGTGGCTCTCTTAACCACCAGGCCACAGGACCAGCCTTAAGTTTATTTCTTATGCAAGAGAAAGAGACAAGCACCTTCAATAGTGTTTTATTTCTGGATCTGAAGTCAGTCAGGAACACAGGTACTCACATACCTGGCATACCCAAGCTGCATGGGAAGAGAGCCCTAACACTGCATGCATATGGCTTACAGCAATGTAGTGTGTTACACTATTAATTCTACCAATTTCTAAACCAACTTTATTATTTTTATAAGCATTTTACTACCTACCTTGTATCAGTTTCAGATTTATGTTTCATCTCCATGATCTCAACCATGAAGAGGTCAATAGGTTCATCTTGTTTTTTAATGGCCAAAATGGAGTCCACTACAGCCTACAGTAGGAGTAAAACCATTAAACTTGATCACAGAAACTGAAACAATGAACTGTTACTTGTTCATGGGAGTAGATAATAACTTTGCTTTAAAAGATCTGGATTAATCTTTTTATATAAGTTAAAAACACATATGTAAAGAATTGAAATCATCTGTTTCTGAAATTTTAATTACCTCGAAAATCATTACTATCTCTTCTATTTACTTATACCAGGAATTTTTCTAATATTGAAGTCTCCATTTTATATTCCTTTTAATGAACATTCCAATTACAGATTTTAATACCTGGTCAAGGTATACTATTAATGTTCTTATTTTACTTTTTAAAGTCACAGATTAGGCATCATTGCCACAAAAATAAGTGTACTTTTCTTATCCGATTTGATATTGTGAAGACTTCAGATAGCACCGGTAAGTGGAAGTAGTAAGAATACTGATGTGTTGACTATCAGGAATTTTTCCACGTAGGTGTATTATACCAGACACATACTAAACTTTAACACATACCTCTGTTAAGACATCTGCAAGTTCAGCGTGAACTTTAGTACGAAGAGATGTTCTGGCCACATCTATAAGTGTTTCCCTGTCCATCTCTCTGCTTACTTTGACTTGTTCCAGAAACTGAAGGGCCTTTTCCTTTGCAGCTTCAAATCCTTCAGTGATTATTCTGGGATGAAGACCCTATGTTAAAATGACAATTATAACACCACCACTAACACTTCCATCCTGAGTTAGCTACAACTATATAGTTCATGATGAAATTCAGATAATTTTTGAAGAATTCATCTGGATCATTTACACAATTCTTTTTTTAAAAAGGTTTTTGCCATAGGACATGTGCACTCACCAGAGAGACAAAAGGTGAATGGGAAAGTGAGAAATCACCCCACAGAAGGGATGGCTGTACCACAATCCCTTTTCCCCCAGGGATCTTGGGCATGCATAAACACACACACACCCAGCATGATATTTGAGCCACCAGGTCTGGAACTTCAACCACAGTTGTCATGTGGAAATTCAGTTACTTAACCATGACGCCATCTGCTGGCCCCCCTTTTATTACAATTAATGTAATATTAACATTATGTGCTGGTTTTCTGAATACATTTAAAAGGATAAATAGTCCTTTCAACGCAGAGGAAAAGACCAGACATTGCTCTAGCACAGAGTCGAAGCCAAGGGAACTATCAAGCACACTTGGGTGTTCACTGTGCAAATCACGGGAATAATGCCCAAACACAAAACTCTGTCCTAACAATTTGTTAGTCAGTAGGAAAATTTTATCTTTTCTACAGATAATCTGAAATTAATTTACATCATTTGCTAATCAAAATAAACAAACCTAGATTAAGACCTTGCTTTCTCATTCTTCCTAGGAAATTCTGACAGCCAATTAGTTCTCACTGATATTTGCTTTACTCTTGGACTACTCAGGGCTAAAGAGCAGTAGAATTCTTAATTTTTTAAAATATATTTATTTTTGTAATAGAGGTTTTTGCTATAGGGTGTGTGTGCTTGCCGGAGAAACAGAGAGACAAAAAGAGAGAAGTCACTCCCCAGGGGGAATGGCCACGCCACAATCCCTTCTCCTCCAGTCTCCTCTGGGGATTTTGGGCACACGTACATGCACCCAGCATGAGTTTTAAGTCACTGGGGCCTGGACTCAAACCATGGTTGACTATGTGGGAGTCCTGCGACGTAACCATTATGCCATCTCCTGGTCCTATAGAATTCTTATTAATTTAAGTTTCTGGTTCTCTTTTTTCTTATAAATAAATATGCTTAGTCCAAAACTTTTCAATGTTCTTTCTTTAAAAAAAAAAAAAAATCATTGCTACAGGGCATCTGCACTCTCCAGAGGAGGGAGAGGGAGCAAGCACCCTTCATGGCCAGGGTCAGCAGTTGGTGTGGTGGTTAGGGTGCTGGACTCCTACAGGGCCTACAATGGATTGAGTCCTGGACCTGATGGTTTGCTTTCTCACTTTCCTTCTCTGTCTGTCTCTCTCTGATGACTATAGAAAGTTAACAAATAATAATAAAATTTAAAAAAATGTTAAGAGAATTATTTTATTTAACTTTGTTTATTATTTTAATTTAACCAGAGAGGGATAAAGTGAGGGAGATAGAAAGCAAGTCACCACCAGGGACAGGACTCAAAATGCCATTGGCTCTGTGGCAGTCCAACACCCTCAACTACCTGGCCACCTGCCGGCCCCAAAATGAAATAATTCTTAAAAAGAAGGTGTAGCTGGCCACGTAGATCCAGCTTCCTTAACCACTACGCCATAAGACTGGACCCTGGGGACCAGCAGGTGGCGTGATGGTTAAGGTGCTAGACACTCCCACATGGCCGACCAGGGTTCGAGTCCTAAATCTGGTGGCTTGCTTTCTCAATTCCTCTCTCTCTCACCCTCTGTCTCGCTCTACTCAAATTAAAAAATTAATAAATAAAATAAAATAAATAATTTTAAAAAAAAGACTGGACCCTGAATTTCTCATTTTATTTCAATTATCAATCTATGTCATACCAAGCCAGATATGTTACATGTGCAAAGCAACGTGATACAAAAACTTCAGCCCAAAAGTTCCATAATTTGTCTACTATCACAATAAACTCGTGTCCCACCAAAATAACCCAAATTCCCCAACCGAAGCCCTATGATCTTTACATTCTACTGCATGGCCTAAGCTCCTATTAACCATCAATTTGTATAAATAAATATTAGGCATTTCTTATACATGATAAAATATCACAGAAACAAGAAAGTCATGTATACTTCAGAAATGTAGAGATCCGCCTGTTTCAGCAGCTCTCCAATGATAAGGACATTGGAAGTAGTACCATCACCAGTTATGTCATCCTGGGCTGTTGCTACTTTTGCTATTAAGGAGGCTGTTGGGTGTTGAATTTGCTGAAAGTGAGAAAAAAAAAAAATCACTGAAACAACATGAAATAGTCCAAATATAATATACCTCAAATAAAATATATGAAAGGACTATTATAGTGCTATCTACTTGGACATACTGCCCAAGTGTCTGGCTACGTAATATGTAATTACTTCAATTAAAAAGTTAGCAGCTATTTTAGACATCGATTTATTTATGATGAACAAAACATTTTTATGCATTACCTTGTTTCAAGATTATCTCTACTGATTCAAGATGACAAATCTAGTAGCAATAATGTGTAATTTTCTTTCTTTTCCACTGTGCAACCCACTTCAGTGCCAGCAGCTCACAGGCAGAAGCTGGGCAATGGTTCGGGGCCAGCTTGCTCTGGCATGGGGTACTATGAGAGGCCCAGGGGGACAAGCCTGCCATAAATCCAAACCCATGCATATAACAACATCTCATGCATCAATAACATCTTCAATCTGTGACACAAGCCTAGAGCTTTTGTAAGACAAGCCACATCCCATGGCCAGCAGCCTCCAATATTCTTGGTACCCAGCATTTAAAGAAAAACAATAAAAAGCCCTCTTAGCAAAAGATCATCAGTGGATGTTAAGTCACTATATGAAACAGGACATTCACCATGTCTCTGAAATCACTCCCCAGAAATCACCTCCCAGGGGGATGGCCACACCGCAATCCCCTCTCCTGCATTCTCCTCTTGGGATCTAGGACATGCACACACACATCCAGCATGAGTTTAAGTTGCCCGGTCTAGGACTTGAACCAGGTGGACTACGCTGGAGTCCAGCAATATAACCATTATGTCACCTGCTGGTCCCACCCCATAGATTCTTGACTACAAAGGATCCAATCAAGGCTCTTGCATTGCAGTTGGTTTTGTCTTTTTATTCTCCTTCAACCTAGGATTTGTGCGCCTCTGGGAAACTGACACATTTGTGGGGGGCGGGGGGGGGGGGGGGCGGCTGGGGGGGGTGGGGGGAGGGAGTGGTGGTAAGAATACTACATAGGTGATACTGTAGTTTTCAGTGTCATATCAACAAGCATACAATGTCAGATTATGGAGAGATTTTTCTTCCAGACCTGAGGAAACAGCATTAGCTAGAAAGCATATCTAAGCATATCTGAGACAACTGTGAAAACTAACAGGAGTGGATACAATACCATATCAATACCATATCAATGTTGCTAATGGTATTGTGATTATGTGGGAGAATTAATACTCTTGCTTACTAATACTCTTGCTTAGAAATGAAATGGGATAATGTGTGCAATTCACTTTCAAATGATTCAGGGTCTACAAAGGAAATAGCAAAATGAAAACAGTTGGCGAATCTAGGTAACCGACATATGAATGAATGATCTAATTATTGTTAAACTTTTCTGTAGGTTTGTAATTTTTCAAAGCAAAAAAAAAAGAGATTGAAGAGAGGTAGAAGGTGGGAGAACTTTAGAAGAGTTCAATGATTAGCTATAGTGGTGACTGCATGCATTTGTTTCAGAATTATTTAGCTAAAAATGTTTAATGTACTCATCTGTATTTACATTTTATTTCGCAATAAAAACCATATGTAACTTAAAAATCATATAGATTAAAAAATAAATCATGTAGATATAGCTCTTCTGACATCAAGTTTAAACTATGGCTCCCCTTGCTCTTTGCTAACACAGGCCCACACAAACTACACCTCCTATGTTATCCAGTCCTTACTGAAGATACTTATTAACAACTGGATGTTCAGGGCATAACACTATCAGAACCCTAAATTATATTCTGAATTCAAATTAGAGGCATGTAATTTCCTTTTCTTTAAAAAGAACTTTTTAAAAAAACTTGCTAGGTTTTGGCAATTTATAGATGAGTAAAATGAATTCTTCTCTCAACAATCTTACATACTTTAACCCTGGGACTTTCAAGAAAAGACACGCAATTTTATCTCTCCTGCAGCTGGAGGTAGAGACACACACAAATTGCTCCTTTAAAAAGAGAAAAACTGAAAAAAAAAAAAAAAGAGAGAGAAAAACTGTAACTATCCTGTTGCACTTTATCCATCTGATAGCATCAATAGCCCATAACTTTAAATTTATTATAATTTTCATTGTAGTTAAGACTGCAAATGGCAAAACGGCCAGTAATTCAAATCTAAATCTGACTCCAGAGCTGAGCTCTTCAGTGTTCTACTGTTAGTATCACCAGTAATTACATTTCTTTTCTACTCTCTCAAGAAATGAACACAATTTTGTCCTACTTTGAGAATGAACGAACACTAGAACTCTTTAAAAAGGTTGATGATGCTATTCAAAAGGCTGAAACACATGGGAGGCCCAGGGGATTCCATTCCCAAGAGACCCTTTAAACAGGCTGGTGGTATGGTTCACCTGTAGTCCTAGGTTCAGGAGGCTAAGGCAGGAGGATAGGGCCATGGTGAGGCCCTGGGTCTAAAACCTACATACACACACACAGATCTGCCTAACAAATCTACGTAAAATCAAGGCATTTTTGACCTAGCACAGGAGCCTCTCACCATTTCGTGAAGCAGCACATTGCCGTCTTTGGTTAGTTTGATGTCACCAGCGCCAGAAACGAGCCTGTTCAATGGGCAGAAATGAAATCAGAATGTAACTTTTTCAAAAGGATCCCAATGAAGAGTCCCATAACACCCGGCTCTTTTCAGACCCTAGGGCGCTGGGGCCACTCCTCCCTTCAGAGAAAGCCGAGTCCTCGGTGTGGCTGAAGTCCCAGAGGGCGGAGTGCGGCGCACGCGGGTCGCTTTGTTCTCCGCGGAGACCGCATCGACACGAGGGGAAATGGCCGGGGCAGAGGATTTGGCGCAGGAAGTAGGACCGACCCGGAAGGACGCAGGGAATAAGGGCCGCGGCGACGGGCGAGGAGGCCGGGAGGCGGCAGACAGGAGTCCGCGGTCCTCGCCTCGCCAGGCCCGCAGCGGCCTGAGGGGCGCGATGTCCGCCCAGCCCTCCCGCAGCCCCGCCTTACATCTTCATGGTGCCCTTAGGCCCCAAGTTG